TCCTTTCTTTCTTCCTCTTTATATCTAAGCTCAGAACAAGTCCATTCGATTCGATCTATAGTAACATTTCTTTTCCCTTTTTCATAATGTAACACCATTTACACCAATAAGTAGTATAATTAACTTATGATTACATGTATATTATCTATATGGAGATGCTTTTATGCGATCTCTTTTTTCTCTCACAAGTTCGCATTGAGCATTTACTTTCAAGTGGATTTGGCGCCTTACAAATCTCACATATATTATAATTATTATTATGTTTAAGACCGTGAATCGTGCAAAACCATTCATTAACTATTTGAAAATATCAAACATAAGACAATTTTACTTCGTGTTGATACAATGAATTCCAGTCCTATGGAAACCTCATACTTTTCCTCCTAGAAACGAACACCTGCTGCAATTAATATATTTGTATTTGATTTGTAATGATACACATTCGTTTTACATCAGTAACCTATACTAAACCAAGCAGGTCATTCAATTTTCTACATTTTGTCACAGGTCATAATCTTGGGCCCCAGCTGTTTGATGACTTTATATTTAACATGTTTAACAAGAAGTTGAATGGTTGACTTTTAACATTTCATTTAGAAAGCAATAACAACTATTACCACCAATAAACAGGCCACATAGTACTGAGTTTTGCGTCTAATCGATATAGAATTAGGCAAATCAATAGAATTAGGCAAAAGGCAATGACGAGAAAGCTCATTATGTATGTAACGCGTGATGATAAACTGTATTGATTGTCTGATAATCCAAAATGCCAACAGATGTCAACATTACAATGTCACGGTTTCCGTCTTGTTTTGGTATAAATGTCATATTGTCGCAACTCGCAACAATATCCATTTCATTAAGCATTCATCCACTAAATGCCATGATATCTATTATATTGATATTATATTTTCTTTCATATTACTCTTACGGTAGAATGTTTTCTACAATTCGTAATTTCCTAATATATTCCACAGTTCCTTTTCGCCTTCAAAAGTAAGAGTACTAACAACATTGATTTATTTGAGTATAAGCAATACCTATTTTTTTTATGATAGACCTACAGATAAATGAAAAATAGAGATTGATATTAAGTTCAGTTATCGAGAGAAGGGTTAAGAGCCCGTTTGGCACATTGCATATTGGTAAGTTGTGAAATATCTGCAAATGATTTAGGCAAAATTAATGTAAAATTTTGTTGTAAGAAAAACACTATTAATTTGTAGTTCGTATAATAATTATATATGTCTCAGAAATCGAGGAAAATATTGAAAGCCTGTTATCAAAAAAATAACGAGAAGCAGCTTTGTTTAATAGATGTAGAAGATCGATTCAACGTTCTCTCTTGTTTACTCTCAAGCCGTTGCATGGGATATGAATGAAAAAGGAATGTATATTTCATATTTTCGTCGTGGTGTCAGGCTGCTGTCATAATCTAAATGAAAGAGTGTCCTACTATTCTTTTTACGTTAATCCTTTTATCTTCATTTATTTATTTTGATATAGAGTTTTGGCTATGTCAGAAAACATTGAGATGTACATCATTCAGATGCTCATTTCTGAGCTCCGTTTCTCAAAAACAAATCTAAACTCTTTCCTTCACATCTATGTTAAACTTAACACGATAAAAACAAAAATGTGCGTACACAATTACACTTTTGTTGCTAGAGAAATGATCTCTCTTCATAATAAATGACTGAATGCAAGTTCGGAGTGAAAGGTTCGCTATAAATCAATGAACATTTAGCTATAATACTCCGGCAATATATCCTAGTAAATGTTAATTTCGGCAATCTTTCGTTTTTTATAACTTCATCCATATTTTGGTTTCTCCCCTTTTATATTTGCAAGAATGGATAATCAAATTCACATTTGATTTCATTCTGTGATTAATAGACTTCCTAAGACTTAATTTCTGTTTCTTGCATCAACCGTCTTTCAACTGGTTCGGTTCTCAGAGATTCATTCATCCAAGTCTATCTGATAACTTCTTCTTGTGTCCTAATATTTTCCTTACTTCTTGTTTTCAATTTCTGACGGAAACTCGCTCTCTGCTTGTGTTTTAAAGTTGAATTTTCTTTAAAATTGAATTACCGAAAATGTAAGCTCTTTTTATTTCATCGTCATGTCTTATTTGCACCATTTGTCTGTCTCCTTAGAACACCCATCTCTCTTGATTTATATTTATTATTAGTATGTTATTATGATTAGTATTATTATAATCATTATCATTGTTTATTTACATTTAATACATGTATTTTCCTTTTACATAGTAAACATGTATTTAACAAATATGAAATCTAGTTTTTAGATGCGAGGATTTTTGCACATTGAATAAAATTGAAATAATAACAACGTGGTCATATAATACTTAAGTGGATTGTCAGCAATTTGTCTCTGTAGATATAAAGGGTTTTCTTCTTCCAAATGCAACAAGAGAGGAATATATTATACCATAAACGTGGCGCCAACTACTTTTATGTTACGTGGACATCAGCACGTACCTCTTAAGGCACACCCACTTTGCCTAGGAGTTGCTACGGTTTTCGTTTTTAGGCAATACAGATTTTGCTGATACTTTGTACGTTTAATAAAGCTACTAGAATATTTATGCATTAGTACGTCAGTTTATCACCATGCCGATGAGCTAATTTACTGCCGATAAACAAAACAGTTTTCTGAAAAGCAGAATGAACAAATTAAGTAAAAGAGCTTGAAGCAGATGCGACTCGATCATTTTTACCTGTGACTTCTCAAGGATAAGACGTTAAATCTAAAAGTTTTCACCTAAGTTAAATTCGATCAACCTTCTACGGCACTTTTATCTGCATATCATCGTCTGGAAGGTTTGTTTTGAGTGATCACATTTTGTACAATTTCTACTACTATTTCTCCTACATCCATTACTACTCGTGAACTGTGACAAAAGAAACAGAAAGAAAGAGGGTTTTGCTTCGTTGCGCCAATTTGAAAAATTGCATTGACGTATTTCGAGAAGAATGACTGCCTTTAAGTAGAAAAAACTCCAGAAAAACTTACTCAAAGTTCCTTATACTACTGTACTCAAAAATATTTGATCGCTTAACTTCATTTAATGAATATATTCAAGCATTGTTCGACTGTTATTGAAATATGTCTTTGAGTAGACAACGCTTGAGCTTAATTACGAATTACCTATACTGCAGGTGCTATTACTTTTACTCTTACTGCTACTGCTCCTTCAATTGCCATGGTCATTACGATACTATTGTTAATGCTACTTCCGTGACTATACTACCATGAGACCGACACCTCATGAATGTGTGTGTGTGTGTGTGCGTGTGTGTGTATTTGGTTTTACAGACGTGTATCAATCAGATATGATTATTTACGTCTGGGGACCGACCTTTAAACGTCACCATCTGAAAAACGTGACTCAGTTTCGAACCTGCGTCCTCGGACCTCGGCTGAATCAGTTTGTAACTTCTGTGCACTGTTAGCTGGATTTAATACAGGCGCACGCCACAACGCCTGATTTCGTCGCACTTTATAGCCTCCTGACAACTTTCTTGAGGGTTCACGAGAGCTCACGAGTTCTCAAGGATAACAACCCAAAAGACTGACGATAACAATCCATCCCTTTTTTCATCTTCTATTTATATTTCTCTTCACATGTCTTTACGTTTTCTCTATTCCCCCCCAAAAAAGGATTGCCATACTTTAATCTTGTTTTCAATAATGTTTATGAATTTATTTCCTTGTTTTGACGGTCTCTTTCGTTATCGGTCTCGAGTGCTACTGCTGGCGTTATTACTACTACTACTACTACTACTACTACTACTACTACTACTACTACTACTACTACTTCTACTACTACTACTACTACTACTACTACTACTACTAATACTACTTCTATTACTACTACTACTTCTACTACTACTACTACTACTACTACTACTACTACTACTACTGCTACTTCTTCTAATACTACTGATACTACTACTACTACTACTACTACTACTACTACTAAACTACTACTACTTCTACTAATACAAATACTTATACTAACACCATGGCTTCTATTGATATCTATTACTACTCCATAGACTGATATAAATTATACTACCACTAATTTACTGCTGCCGCTGTTACTGTTACCGTTCCTGATACTACTACTACAACTACTACTACTACTACTACTACTACTACTATTATACCTACACTGGAGTAATATTCTATTATGCAGACTACATCATTATTTTTAACCTGATATATATTTGCTTGGAAACGGCAGGTAACAGGTAAACGCTGCTTTATCAAAATAAAGACCTGAAAGATGGATTTTTTTTTCTATTGAACGCTCTTCTGTTTTCATTTACGTTTCATGTATGAATTTTAATTACATACTACGTTTCCACACCCAGAAGTAACTGGTCTTATGTTTTACTTTTCTTATGTCAGTTTTCTCGGACTCGAAGACCGATATTTCTTCGAAAATGAGAAATAATGTGAATGTTTTGGTACTCAGGCTCTCTGTAACCAGTTATATATTTTGTTTACTTGTGAGATCGTACCAGTTTTTCTATTTCATTGATGTTAATGATCTCATTTTAATACGTAATACCATCTAACTTTTTGTATGTATTCTGTGTGTTCTTCATCTGATCTATAACCAGCGATGCTGTGCTGGAATTGTACAAGATTGTTTATCAAGTCACGTTACACAATTGTTGTTTATTTATTTTCATAGTACGTACAATGAGTATGCCAGTAACCAGAAGGGAAGAAAAATCTAAAATTGGCAGTGTCTTGCGTAATTATGTGTGGTTGTATATTTAGGTAGAAAGTATTAATATTTTCCCGATTATGTACACTCTTTCGATTTTGGAGTTCACAATTGTATAAACTTTAAAGAGAGAGAGAGAGAAAAAAAAAACCACCGATGGTTACTTTCTGTAATTTAATGTATATACTAAATGTCATCTTGTTGGAAATTTTATCTAAGGAACTTTGCGGAACAAAAATATCCAGATATTCATCCCGAGCAGCTGCAAACATTGGCATCACGAGATGGCTTCTCATAGGATGTTGCCTGCAACGCTGCATCTTATCCTATTCGTAATGTCAGGTAAGACACAATTATAAACGAACTCTGATTTACACCTTAGTCTGAGCTGCCTCTTGTCTCGCCATTAGTCTGAGTTTTAAAAGAACATCAGCTGTATATACAGCCTTCGAGGCCGAGACCGACATGTAGGTCTTTTGAGTCTCCTCATAACTCTTCTTAGGCTCACCAGACCGACATAGTTGGTAAAGGATCTCATTTCTTTGGATTCCCAGCGAAATATTGAGGGTTCGATTTTCAGCCAAGCACTACATGCCTTTTGTCGATACCTTAACATTTACTTCTGAGCCAGACATAAACAAATGCGTACATTCCTGATAAAAGGAGTCTCCGAAGCTAGGATACATTACCGTTACAGTTCTGTTATTGTTATAGCGTGATAATAGTTTGTATATTGCTTGCCCTAGAAAAAAATCAGCCTGAGTGAAGTAATCTAGTGAAATACATGCCACAATGATAGTGATATAAATTTAGTTTGCAACGACTTCAAAAGTTTCCTGGTTCTGAAAATTATTGTATTGTCAATTCATCACAAAGAATTTCCACCTGTCCTATGCAAGGAGTTTACTTTTCTGGATTCCCTGGGCAAACTTTTTTATAAGGTAGGGAGAGATAGGAAATGTATCAACACAAGGGAAGAAAAATGGTACATGTTATCATCTATTCAATATTGCTGTGTGATGAAATCGCACATTTTGGTTTATCATTTTATGTTTCATTTCAGTTGTTACGTCTGTCATGGCTGTACAAACAAGTGATAGAACTGAAACAATGCAAAACCCCACTGGAACTGAAATTATGACCGTCACAGAAGTTATCACAGCTCAATATACTACCACTGAAGCCCCATCTACAACACAGAACTCAACCACAGCTCAATATACTACCACTGAAGCCCCATCTACAACACAGAACTCAACCACAGCTCAATATACTACCACTAAAGCCCCATCTACAACACAGAACTCAACCATGGGCGCTACCACAGCTATCGAAGTTTCAACCACTGGCAATATTACAGACATGGCACGCGAATCAGCGACTCAATTTGTTACCACTATGGTCACCAGTGCGTCCCCGACCTCAGATGAGACCGACACAATTTTCACCATGGTAGTAACACGAGCCTTGGATGCAGGAGATACAAAGGGTACTACAATGGATTCAGCTGAGGATACTTCAACGATAACCCTAGATGTTGCCACCGCCGGCCAAGATGAGGTCGTCGTAACTACAATGGATTCAGCTGAGGATACTTCAACGATAACCCTAGATGTTGCCACCGCCGGCCAAGATGAGGTCGTCGTAACTACAATGGATTCAGCTGAGGATACTTCAACGATAACCCTAGATGTTGCCACCGCCGGCCAAGATGAGGTCGTCGTAACTACAATGGATTCAGCTGAGGATACTTCAACGATAACCCTAGATGTTGCCACCGCCGGCCAAGATGAGGTCGTCGTAACTACTCTGGTATTCGCAACGACTTTGGTTGAAGTAAAAAATGCTGGAACTACTTTGTTGCCGGATATTACTACCATGCAAACTACTGGTGCCATGACAACATCCCAAATGACGACATCCCCCATGACGACATCCCCCATGACGACTTCCCCCAAGACGACATCCCTCAAGACGACTTTATCTGGAGATAGCGACATGACACAGGGAACCACCGGCGATGGTACCTATGATGAATATCACACAACTGAGAATTCAACTGCTTTAGTTCGAGGTTAGTTAAAGGCCATTTTCAACCTGACATATTTATGACGAAACTTGTATGTTCTATTCAAGAGACTGTAAACGGGTCAAACGATTTTTTTTTCTTCTCATGTATTATCATTTTTAACTTTCTTCTAACAATATTGACCACTCAATGAAGAAAGGACAGGAATAACCATGGATCGAGGTTTAAATATTAAGCTTTAAGTTGCTCTTGCAGGATAATGTAATTATTGTACTTAGAAATAGAAAATATATATATATATATATATATATATATATATATATATATATATAGAAAGAGAGATGTACATTTGTTATTCACAAGCAATGTCAAGACTAACATGTCAAATGGAAAGTTAATTGTAACGCAGGATTCATTACTGTTTAAAAATAAAAATGAACTTAGATTTATTTAGTAGGATGATAGAAGATTGTCATTGCATGCAGTTCGCTGCAGGTAATGGTACGTACGATTATATACAGATCCCAAATACAATTTAAGATGAAAATGTCAAAAATGTTGTTGATTTCTGTAGAAATTAAATAAATAAATTAAGGAATATCTACTTAATTAGTTTTATCGTTTCTTCATACAAATCCTTCATTTAAAAAAAATCACAGATATTTTGTTTAAAGCCTTCGTTTTATTCTTACATTTTGTTGGTGATCTTCACAGAAACAGCAATAGCTTCGATACGTGTTATAATATCTGTCTACGATGAAGAATTTGAAGAAGCCATAGGTGACACTTCTTCATCTAAATTCATGATAGCCGCCATAATGTGGGAAGGAACGGTGAGTATGATAATACTGACATGCAGGGTACTTTTGTTACTCGTTTATACATAACCAAAAAGCCGGGTTATCATTATTTCGAAGCGCTTAGCATTACTCGAAGCCATGCATACCAATAATGTCCAGGATAGATGTTAATTGAAGTATCAGTATTGAAAGAATAGAAAGGTAGTCTCTGGTTTATGAAACCGAAAACGGGTGCCTTTTTTTTTTACCGACATCGTCCGATTTCCTCTCCGTTTCCAAGTGTATAAAGATATTGCCAATGTGAATTAAATTTAAGGAGTATAATATTTATTAAAAGGAGTAGTCTGACGTTTTCTAAAGGTCAGATTTTGGTAGAGATAATTATATTAATTTTTTATTTATCAATATTGCAATGAACCTAGGTGCTGTAAAATAAATTAAACTATGTCTGGTTCTGGGTTCATTGGTACAAACAAAATCCGGAAAATGAAGAAGTTTGATTGATAGAAGAAAAAAAATCAGAAACATTTCATGGTTCCAGAAAAATTAAACTGTGAAATATTTCAAAAGTACATGAGACAGGTGTAGCATCCTTCATTAACCTTTTTGAAATGGTTTGAAATCTGTTTGATGAAAAATTCTGTCATACTACAGATCGAAAGGGCTTACTGCAATGCTACATCTGACATGTGGGACGGTACCTGCCCAATCACAGCAGATGTTACAACCTTCTCTCTTGATCCTCCTATGGTTCATGGCATTCTTGACATTATCCATCCTAGCGACGAGATAGTGAACACTTTGACAGAGTTCATTCTCAATGAAAACGACATCGAAATCTTGGACGAAAATGGAATTCCTTACAACTCAACGGTTTCTGGTCGGACCCGTGAGTAGTGATCAGAACTTCTTTAAAAACATTTCCACTGCTCTTAAAATGGTTTTAAGCACTTTGCTGAGAGTTATAACTTACGGATTCAATAGGATTATACCAAACTATGAAAAGATTCACATGTCGAAATTACACAATAAAACAAAAACTTCGTGTGTTCATTAACATCCACGAATGAAGAGATTATATTACATAAATCTATATAAAGAAATCGATAACATATGATGTTTTCACCATTCAACGTTCAATTTGGAAGTTAAGAATACAAAAACGGTCAAGGTCACGAAACATACCATATCCCTCTCCTTAATGATTATTGCCATAAATCATCATACTTCGCATATTCCATCTGGCAATTCTCTCTCTTCAGCAGTTAAAGAGAGAATATATCGAAAGACATTGCTCATTGTGCTTTATATAATATCTAACATTCCTTTATAACAATGCACACTTTATTCATGTTTATGTTCCATTTGAATTTTTTGGTGTTGTGGTATACGGTATATTTACTCATTGCTGGGAAGGAGGGAAAGTTACCATTATAGGCTTAATGTTTATCTACTAACATGTTTAATTCTTGTACTTCATGTGTTCCATCGTTGATTCCATTATTTTGCAGTTATTACTGAGGCTCCTGTAACTGTTATAAGCGCTTATTCGGTAAGTGAAATGTGTCTTCGGATACAAATTTGGATACAAATTTACAATCTGTAGGAATCGGTGTAAAATTTCAAATTGATTGATACAAATAATGATTTTTTTTCTTCATTAATGTAAATGAGCGGTGATTTTTTTTTCATCCCTGACAGTAAGCAATATAATGCAGATCTATACAGTTCGGCAGATTTTTTTTGATTTTTTTTTTCTTTCTTCATATGAGACATAACATGCAAAGCACTAACGAAAAAAAGGATACTTTCTACAGCATTAATGGCTCCGTCAAAGATATAGGGTTAGGGTTAGGGTTAGGATTGTTGTTCGGCTTAGCCTTGAGTAAGGGCAAGGGCCAGGGTAAGTTATAGTGTTTAAGCCAGGGTTGTTGTTAGGACTCCAGTTAGTGTAGGATATAGACCGCGAAGAATCGCAATAAAATAGCATTGTTAACACAGCTGAACGATATTGTCGCGGCAACAGTCATTATATTTACACATCTATGCGTATTTAATTTCCTGGCGAAAACCAACTGTATAAAAGGAAAAAAAAAATATATAAACTCGAATGTGTCGATTAGTGGATCTATTTAAGGACAATTTAAATGAGTTCTGCTAGTGTCGATCAACACAATCTTTATCTGGTCAGATATTGAGAGCAGTAGTTTATCAATATTTAGTAGGAGACCAGCCTGTAGGTCCCGTGACCAATCTCTGGGAACAAAGGTTTGAAAGTGTTTTTGTGTTCCCTGATGGAAACCGAACAATTTTGATTTGGCCTGCCCCCTTGAAAATCTCGGGCATTTTCGTGAGGGGCCAACAAAGGTCAAACAGGGGTCGAAATTCAAATTACTCGTCTGGTCATGAGGATTCCAAAAATGTATAGTTTGTTATACCTCCGACCTTAAATGAGGGCGCTATGGTCAAAAACGTTGAAAGGTCAACGCACTGTTGACCGGTGGTCAAATTCAGCAACACAGTTAATTTTATCAAATTGCATATCAAATTACTCGTCTGGTCATGAGGATTCCAAAAATGTATAGTTTGTTATACCTCCGACCTTAAATGAGGGCGCTATGGTAAAAAAGGTCAATGCACTTTAGACTGGTGGTCAAATTCACCAACACGTCCGATTCTAACGATTTTAGTGACTAATAATATGTTTTCTGACATGGCAAATTCAACTATACAATTTTCAAAAGTAAAAGTGCTTACCTTGACCATGAAAATTCAAAATGGCTGCCGTTTCGGTGACAAACATTTAACAACTTCTTATCCATGGGTTTGGGGGAAATTTCAAGGTTATGGAAACCTCTTTTGATTTTAAAAGTTGCTCAGTTGACTTTGTTATGTCAGAAAACGTATTATTAGACACTAAAATCATGAGAATCGAAGTGTTGGTGAATTTGACCACCAGTCTAAAGTGCATTGACCTCTTTGACCATAGCGCCCTCATTTTAGGTCGGAGGTAAAACAAACTATACATTTTTGGAATCCTCATGGCCAGACGAGAAATTTGATATGCATATCGACACGATTTGAATATGTTTCAATTTCGACCCCTGTTTGACCTTTGTTGGCCCGTCACGAAAATGCCCGAGATTTTCAAGGGGGCAGGCCAAGTCAAAATTGTTCGGTATTCATCAGGGAATACAAAAACACTTTCAAATCTTTGTTCCCAGAGATTGGTCACGGGACCTTCAGGCTAGTCTCCTACTAATTATATTTCATTTGAAATCTTATGATTATTTTCCCGTCACTTCGACCATCCCCTTTACAGGATTTGACATGTTATGCATGCAGCACTAATGACCTCACGCATTCTTGTTCAATTGGTGGATCGCGGATCACAGCATTCTCCACTCACATGTGTAAAGCTGGAGAGAGTTGCCTGGTAGGTCATTCACACTGAGAGGAAACTATGAATAGTTTACAGAATTCTTTAAAAAAAAAATCTTTTCAAATGTTGTTAACCAAACATAATAATTGGCGAGCAAAAAAGAAAGAAAACACTATCGCTATAATCACTAATGCGATAATGCACAAACTTTATTTTGATAATTTTGTCAATCGTAATATTTGGTTAATATTACGTTGTAATCAGTTAATGAAGTAGATGTGGAAAAATATCACAAAGAGGAGTAGATAAGTCGAATTAAGCAAATGAAATATCTATATGATTACACCTTCGTTCATTTTGAAAACGTTTCTTTCAAAGGGCCTTAGTTTTTATTTGAAATACTTGAACATTGAATGCCAGACTCGGAAGAAACGAATTTCTCTCGTCATTCTGGCTCTTTATATTTTAGACATTAAAGACTTCGAACACAACACACACCTCCGTCGAACGCAAGTGTGCTTCTACTGTGATGTATTGTGAGGGTGCAAACATGGCTTCAATGTCATGCAGACACGCGCAACCTACCGGTGGAATGGACAAGACTGAATGCCATAGATGCTGTAACACTAACGATTGTAATGATATGGACGCCGCATCATCTCGACCTATTCCTGCACTCATGTTGCTGCTAGTGACTCTTTTCATTACCATGGCAATTTGAAGATAGCACATCTATTCACTCACCATGCCTTTCAAAATTGTGCCCTTCCTTTCCCTACTCACTGATTTGTGTTTTGTTATGCCGGGGAAAAGGAAACGAATAGCTTGCTTATCGAACATCATTGTAAACTGTTCGATTAAAACAAAA